GGGGGGGAGAGAGGGAGAGGGAGAGAGCCACCTTGTGTCTGGCAGCAACGGGATCTTGGGGAACGGGGGCGCGGAGGGGGCGGGGGCGGCGGCTAGCGCTAGCGCTGCCGCCGGCGGGGAAGAAGAGGTGAGATTTAAGTCGTTTGTGGTCCTTGTTGTTGCGGTGTACGTAAACCGTTAAACTTCGTGTCCGTCCATTCTCGGAGGGCTGTGTGTAAAAGTAGGCTCGAGGGCGTGTGAGGAAATGTGTGGGTTACTGGATTGGCGGGGAAGGAGGTGGATCGATCGATCACTGATCCTCGAGAGAAGGCGGTTTGTTGAGAGGTAAGGGAAAGGGGCTGCAGGTTAGGGAAAGGGGTTTTTGAGAGGTTAGGGAAAGGGGCTGCAGGTTAGGGAAGGGGTTTGTTGAGAGGTTAGGGAAAGGGGCTGCAGGGGGGGACGACGCCCGGAAGAGGCGGTGAGGGTTGTGTTACTTGTCGGGACATGAGGCAAGTTGTTTGTTGTGTTTGTTGGGGCAGAGAGGGGCAGGGAGGGCGGGAGGGACGGGGCACGGACAGGGTGACGAATGCAGTTTTTTTTTTTTTCTTTTTTTTTTCTTCTGAAATATGGCACAACGAATCCACATCTCTTATCGGTAGAAAACAGTCGAAGATTTTTGGTACCAGTATGTATTTTTCGTTGGTGGAGGACGTGGCCACGAAAGTTTGTGGCGATGTCGGGGAGAGGTCAAAGTGTTGTTGGAATTCCGCGGGGGACGCTTGGGTATGGTGTGAAAGCAACGACCTCCCTCCAACGTTTGAAGGGAGGTCGTTGCTTTCACAACTGAATTTTTTTCAAGATCGCTTCGTGCTAAGTGACAAGCGCGGTAAAATTCCCTGGTCTCTCGCTGTAAGCTGAGATTTGAGTGTCGGCTCTCTCGCCGCCGCCAAAATGCTGCCGTTCTGGGCGGTGAAACAGAAGTATTTGTTGTTTTGTTGTTTCCTGCTTAGCCCTACCAGCCGCGCGTGTCCATCACTCCCCCTTCTCCTCTGCGCGTTGACCTGCTTCTGCTTGATCGAGTACCTATCAACACGCTGTCTCTTGCCCCCCTTTTTCTTGCTCTGTCGGCAGGCGGGCGAGGAAGGCTACGGATGCTCACTTCTGTGGAGAATTCTCAGCGAAAAGTTCCCGGTAAGAACGAAAAAAGAAGGAAATGTCCTCTTGATCGGATGTGTCGTGGCCTGGAAGTGTATCAACCTTCATTTTGATTGCGGCCGGTTTCTTCAGCAACAAGACCAGCTTGCCGTGAGGGCTGGTGCCCTCAACTGCCTCGCCGCCAATGTCTCGACTTTTGGCATCCCCCTACGGCTGTTGTCATGTTCCTTTGATATGCACTCTCCTTGTTTCGCACTCTCCTTGTTTCCTCTGACCGAGCCGAGTTTTGCGACGCGCCCTGGCGTGGTACGCATGGGTAGGTATGCTAGTGCTTCCGTAGTCTCGGATCTGAAGGGTCCCTCTGTGGCTTATGTCTCCCGAAGCAGAGCGTCGTTATGACACATAGGAGCAACACCCACTCATCAAGACTCACACTTGATTTTTGCTGCTTGGATGAATGTTTGTCTGACTTTTTCACGCGACTCATGCTGCTGCCATGTATGTATGTATGCCTGATTTTTTTGTCATCTCAGAACGACCCTCCCTGAACAGCGTCGTTTGACGTACGTGCAACACCCACTCATCGAAACGCACACGTGGTTTTTGCTGCTGCTGCTGCCGTTTTCGTGTGTGTTTTTTTGTCACGCCAGCACTACATCAACCAAGGGTTGGAGGACACCCAGGTGCAAGTACCAAACGGGAAGTTTCCTACCATCGGCTTCAAGAAGGTGCGTACCCGCTGTTGCTGTCGTTGCTGCTGTCGTTGCTGCTGCCTGTGTTGTTGTCGTAGTCACTCGAAAGAGGCCTGGTATCACATTAGTTGTACCTCTACCTCTGGGTCTTTTTTTTTTATCGATGGTCCCTGCTGTACATGAAAACAGCGGCACGGCTGATGGTGAATCAGGAAAGGGCATATTTCCTTGCGTGTTCCCCCGTCGCCCCGCGCTCTCGCCCCTTCTGCTGTCTCAAGTTTCGTTTGAGCGGGTTTGGCCTGGATTTTTTTATACTGACTCGAAAGTTGAAGAATTGGCGTGTGGACGTATGTGCTGTTGAAAATACCACCCTCGCTCATTGTGTGAGCAATTCAGGATGATTGCGTTTGTTTTCTTTTTTTTCTCCCTCGATATCGGTTTCTTGGATGTATCAGTTTTCGGAAATGATCTCTCTTGGTGTCCCTTGTTGTTTGAGTCTTCCGATAAATTCTGCTGTTTTGGTTTCATTTTGTGTCTTGCCCGGGGGAAGGGGGGTGTGCTCATAGTCGTGCATGCCGTAGTGGTTAGACCATTGACCTCGCATCCCTACAAAGCCGGGACGGAGCACGCCGGGTTCTCACCGGACCAGGCTTTACCGGGGAGGGGGGGGGGCTTCGCCGTATCGTGGCTGTGAGCCGTCTGTGTGCCCCCCGGCCCATCTCCACGCCCCAGCAGAGACATGCGTGTTGTTTCTCACGCGGTTTGATTCATTTGGTGACGTGGGACCTCACAATAAGAACACGCCCTATCTTTCCCTCCCCCCTTGGTGGTATGCATGCTTCTGTTATTCAGGAAAACCCTAACGAGAGCCGTAGCAACTACCGGAGAGCCGAGCAAGGCATTCGGATACGCGGGAGCTGAAGCTGAAGCTGAACGGCGTTGGTTCAGCTGCCGCGAACAAGATTCTTCGTGATCTTCTCACCTCGTCGCCAGCAGCAGTAGCCACGGCAGCAGTAGCCACGGCAGCAGTAGCCACGGCAGCAGCGGTTGTTGAGCTACGCTGCGCAAGGGGCATGCGGTGCGGAAGATGGACAGGGCACTGTCCTCAGATGGCTGTAAGGGAGGGGAGGAGAGGGGAGTTTGGCGTGGGTCCCCGTCGACGTTGGTGGCTTGTCGTAGGACCGGAATCGTGGAAGTGGTCGTACTCCCCCCCCTAGACAGACTTGAAACACAGCGATTGCTCCACGAGTAGGAGAGAGAGTTTGGGAGAGTTCGAGAGAATTCCGAACCCAAGGAGGGTGGTCTAGGAAACATCTCGTCGAGAGTTCGTTTTCATGGCCGGGGTTGTTTCGTACTGTACACCCTCTGGGCTTTTTTTCGCTATGTGGCGGCACCAGCACCTTCACAGCGAAGAAAGCATTTTGGTGACATGAGAAATGCGAGCGCGTAGCGCCGCCGTGGAAATCGAGTTTCCCGCGTCTTTGCCTACCAATCGTCTTAAGCCGATCAATCTCTGAACCTTCCAATACACGCGGTTCGCCCCCCGTTCTTTCCGCGGGCTTTTGTCGACTTTTTTTTTTTTTGTTCTGTGTCGGCTGTGCCCGGTTTTATCCTCATTGTCGAGAACATGATTTGAATCCTGTTCTGATATCCACGGGTCTCTCACCGGTTTGTCGCTTGTCCTTGTGCTTCTTTCGGAGGCGTGCGCCCCCATCAGGCCATGCGGGGCAATTGGTGCACATGCCCTCACCGGTCGGTGACGTTGGGGGTGCGGCTTTTTTCTTGTTAAGATGGCGTGGGTTTGAAATGGAGGTGCTGTAACGCGGCAGTGTAGGTGGTGGTGTTGGTGTGTGTGTCTCAGTACTTGTCTGGCCTCCAGGATGGTCTCCTTTGTTGCGAGAGTCCAGGGTTGTGCGAGAGAGTTACTCCTCCCCTCTTCCCAACGAAAGGAAAGGCTTCACGGGGCGGTGGAAAAAAACGCGCGTGGCCGTGGTGCTTGCGGGCGCTTGCGCTGTCAGTCACCGCCGCCAAACATCGAAGAAGCAAAAAACAACTCTTCGGGGTAACATAAAAAACCCAAGGTTGGTTTTCTTCCCGCGAGGTTCGATTTTTGTTTTGGTCCTGTTTCGAGCCGCGGAAAGGGTGGGTGCAGCACTGGTCCGGCAAACCCACTTCGAGTCGTCGCTTTGCCCTCCTGAGGAGGAATGGTGTGTGCGCGCGTGTGCTGAAGGGGGTGGAGGACTTCTCTTTGGCTGCACGGGAACAGACGTGCGGGACACGTGTAGGCATCGGTCGTGGCGTGGCGTGTCACACATGTCCCGATTTAGCTTGGTTTCAGGGGGCGGCGCGGAGAGCGTGCTGCACGGCCCGCTCTCGCTGGCGGCACACCCGCGGATCCCCTTGCTTTCTATGTGAAGTTTCGCCCTCCACTATCCCCCCACGTGCAGGGGTCTTGATGCGTTTGCAGCTGGTCGTGTTTTCTGTTTCTGGCTGTAGAGGCGCGTGGCACTCTTCTATTTAAAATGTGGTGGGTGGAAGGTTGGTTGTGGAGGTCGGCGAAAAGAAGTTGATTCTCCGTCGGAGAGAGCGAGAGAGAGACAGAGAGAGAAGAGAGAGAGAGAGAGAGAGAGAGAGAGAGAGAGAGGCGCGTGGTTTGCTAGGTGCTGTTGCTTCGATGAAGACAGTAGCAGCAGTATTCCCCTCTGCCTTTTGGTTGTGGGGTATGCTCGACCGATCGCAAACACCCTTGCTTCTCCCGGCATGTTCCGTTGGCCGGGGAGAGTGATACCGCCGTCGTCACTACGTACGGGGGATTTTGCGATATGCGCTCACGTGTTCTTCTGCCTTTGTTCCTTTCTCTCTCCCCTTGCGTGTTTCGCGGGGTATCTGGGGTGGAGAGATGCAACCAGTATTCGTTAGGGGCGCCTCCCCTGTGAATTTGATGGCGCATGCTCTTTCCGTTGTTTCTGCTGTGTGTGTGTTTGTGTTTTTTTTTTTGCAAAGGCCGGCTGGGTACGGACGGCCAGATGGGGGAGAAGTTGAAAGAATAATAGCCGAAACAGAGGTTAAGAAAAGAGAGACGCGACGATCGGGCAGCCAGTGCCGTTTTTGACGTTTTCACGCACCATCCTGTGCGATTTGAACCGGCTCTCTGAGTCGCAGCATACGAATCCGGGACAAACCTTCCGCGGGGGCAGCTTTAGTCTCGCGCACAGGCACGGCCATTTTTTCCTCGTAGCTCCATCTTCAAGCACCATAAGGCTGTGTGGGGAGTCAACAGCAAGTGGGAAGGAGCTATCTCCCCTTGCGACGGTGCAACATGCGTCACGCCGCAATGAGAGAGAGGGGAGTCTGCCGAGAATCACCGGTCGTTTTTTTTTCGCACTGTTGTTTTTTTGGGGTGGTTTCCGTGCCTGCACTGCAACGGTCCGGCTCCCAACCGTTCCCGGACGCCTTGCGCGAGGACACGACACAAGGTAATCCCTTTTACATGCCACGGTTGTGAGCTGGAAACTTTGCGCATACCAACTCCACGTTAAAGCTGAGTCCAACCCCTTTCCAATGAAATGAGCGAAACCGCCTTAAAAACCGGCGTGCGATGCGCCGTGTTGGCATCGGTACAGAGTATTGCAACCGACACGCACACACGGTATGGTGGTCTTGGCAAAGGCACAATTAGACTTACCGTAGCCATCGCCAAGCACTTGGCATATGAAGCCTTTTGCAAGAGCAGTTTCGATGACGAAACAGCCTTGCTTCGCCTTAAGGCTTTTCACACCAATGGGATCCGGAGACGGGTTACCTTCGAGCTGGCTCGTTTTCTATCCGTACGAACTCGCGATGTTTTCAAACGTCGTGATGACACAGAATACTGCTTGATCAGTTCCCATCATGACCAGTAGGTTGGGATCTCGGGAGTAGTGCAGATAGAAACGACCAGGATGGCAATGTCGGGAATTCGTTTGGCAGCGATGAAGGAGGAGGAGAGGGAACGGGAGGAGGACAAGACAGGGACCAAAGCAGCAGTCGAGGAGGGAAAAATGGCGGGGAAGAGAGCGAGAGCTTCGAGCCAGATGACTTTCCCCACCACAAACGACGCAGGGCTAGAGAGGAAAAGTCGAGAGGTTGCTGTGAAAATGACCATGAGAACGATGGAGGAGTTGGAAGGAAGGAGGATGACGGTGAAAGCACTCCAAAATGAACTCGAGTGCAAGGTAGCAGCCTTCGTAGACGTATACAGCGTTTCTCCTGTTGCTACCGTTTCTGTCTTTGATCCGGAGAATAGGTGAGTCTCCCCTATGCCGTCCTCTCACGGGGTCCCAGTTAATGGCATTTTGTATTGGTGTAGACACGCGTAGCAATCCCTTAAGACCCTTCCTTGGTGAAGACTCACTTGTTGATTCATGTCTCTCATTGGACAGCAGTGCATGCTGATTCCTTGCTCTCTGTGGTAGACTGAGCATGTGGGGGCAGACCAGCTCCCTCTAACAGGGGCTACCAAGGTCCTGTCCCCTGCTTTATCCTTCAATCGGGAGTTACATCTCCCGCACTTTCCTCTGGGCATTAGCCCGCACTTCACTATTACCTACCGTTGGTACTTTGGTACAACTTCAAATCCCAGATCACTAGCCCACCCTGGAGGTCCTCATACGCAGATACGTGAATCTCGGAACTTGACATATACTTGTCGAATTCCAAATGAGAGTATCGAGGATGCAGAGCTCCAAAATACCACAAGTCACCCCCCCACACCTCTCACTCGATGAGTCGCAAGACCATCGTTTGACCTGAAAAAAAGGAAGGTACAGGAAGGAATAAACTGGCACTAACAGAAAGAAAACCAATGGGAGAGCCGCAACAGGCGAATGCTACATATACCATAACAGGTCGGAACCCAAAAGAAAGGGGAAAAGAGGACACGAAAGAAACGAAGAAAATAAGCGTCGCCGGAACGACGAAGAGGAACGAACGTCGTCGGAACGACGAAAAGGAACGTCGTCGGAACGAGAAAAAAAAGGAAAGTCGTCGGAACGACGGAAAAAAGAACGTCGTCGAAACGACGAAAAGGCCTGTATCGACAAAACGATAAGATACACCAAACAATCACCACGGTAGCGTGGGAGCGACAACAAAGGTCACGAAACACCTACAGTCCGCAAACTCTAAGACGTAGAGACAATAATACACCGAAAACGTACAAAAGCACCACAACGTACCACAAAGAAAGGTCGGAAACCAAACGTTTCGGAAGCGACGCAAAGAAGAAAAGGGGTCGTGCCGCCAAACAATAGCTGACAAAACCTCGGCAGGGAACAGAGAAAGCTCGACCTGGCGGACTATTGAAGCCAAAAGAAAGAAAACGAGAAAACGAAAACAATGCTATATTGTAAGAGCAACAGAAGGCAAAAGCAACCAAGCACGCCATCTTAATGGGAGCGCACGAAGTCATCGGGCAACGAGTCCTTCACTACGCCGCCACGCGACATGTCGATGTTGCGAAGAATAACCTAGAAAAGGGCGCTGCCGCTGTGAGCTTGGAGGCACCAGGATCCGGAGACGGCGGTTTCGCCGGTGGAGTAGCGAACATCAGGAAGGGCGAGCTTGACAGGTCCAGGGTCGTTCAAGAAGCGGACGACGTACAATAAGTCGGACGGTAGAGGTGGTCCAGAAAATCTTACCCAACCACCAAAATCCATCGCGTGCTTTGTACCAGAAGAAGGCGCCAACAGGTAGCGGAGTATTGACGAAGCGACGGTCCCATGTTGAACGAGGGACGAGCGAGTAGCCCGAGGGCAAAGCTCGTTCTTCTTTACCGCGCGCCACTTCCCGGGTGGCCGCACCAATGCGCATCGCCCGATATCGGGGATTCGTTTGGCGGTGTTGATCAGGCTGTGGTTCCCTCGAGCATTTGGATGCTCAAGAACTGTCATCAGCACGCGCGGCAGGCGGCTCATATGCACCTCGTTGGTCGCCAAACCAGTAGCGGCACTAACCGAAGTGTTGTAGGCAACCAAACCTGCGGCAGATGAATGCCCCAATCATCTTGCCTCTCGTTGACGACCATAGCCAGCATCTGAGCCATCGTGTGATTGACACGCTCCACGCCCCCATTGCCGTTGGGATGGTAAGAGCTGGTAGCCACTTTGCGAATAGCAAGGCGGGCGCACACACCTGCGACAGTTTAGAACAAAACTGAGAGCCGTTATCAGACAAGAGACTCAACGGGCAACCCCACAAAGTGATATGCCGGTTGACAAGGATGTCAGCGGTGCCTTCGGCGGTGAAGTCTGCAGCCGTAACCGCGTACATACCAACACGGCGGCTGAAACGATCGGTGAAATGCAGAATATATGTGTTTC